GTTCTAACCATGTTGCAAAAATGGAAGCTAAATGCCACGAATTTAATTTTGCAATTAAATTAAAGACATTAGTTCCATTTCATCCTTAAGCGATTTTTGGAGTAACTTTTAAAATTATTTGGTTTTAAAGTCACAGCTAAGATCACGTTTCCATGGTTACTGATAAATCTACTTCAACTGGACAAGGGGTTCTGGGTTTTCTTAATGTCTGTATCATTGTATCGATTATTAGCTACATTTTGGTAAGGGGTAGGGATGTATTTTTCAATGAAAACTGACATCCGTTGAATGCATGTCGTCTGGATTTTTTTTTAATTTATTGTTAACGGCAAAACATTATATATATATATATATATATATATATATATATATATATATATATATATATATATATATATATATATATATATATTTTATATATTTAAAGATATTTTTTGGTACAAAATTTAATGATCGAAATAAAAGTATAAAATTTAATATTACAAGACATATTAAAACAGTATTAAAAAAAACAACTCAACAACAAGCGGTGGGGAGCAACCGGTTTCGCTCCCGCTCGTCAGGATTCCACGGGATATTGAAAATTAAAACAGAGAAATGTACAATAAGAATAGGTGGAAAAAAAAATTACACACACACACACACATATATATATATATATATATATATATATATATATATATATATATATATATGTTCGTATATATGCAAGAAGGAACTAGAGGCAGATGACAGCGAGTCCCAGCAAACACTCACGTTGTTTGCACAAAGAAGGCTTGCGGGACCCGATGTAAAGTGCCTCTAGAACCTTCAGATGAAATACAGAGTGTGACCGGGCCAACACGGTGAACCAGTCGACACTAAATTTGGCGGCACAATCTCTGCTATTTAAAAGATGTTCGCATATGGCGGAACTGTAGGTGTTCGGAACGAGTCCACTCGAAGGCAAGGTGTGGTTTCTAATTTTAGTAGGAACGTGTTGCTTTATTCTAGTGTCTAAGCGCTGAGTTGTTCTCCCTATGTAGTTGGCTCCGCAATTACAAACGTGTTTGTAAACAATTGAATTAATATGGTGGGGAGGGAGAACGTCTTTACACGCCGATCGAAACATAGGCCGAGTTTGAAAAGTAATCCGAACTTCAGCAGAGAAAAAGCAGCAGCGAACCTATGATGAAATTTGTTTGGCCATTTTTTCACACTTTGTACCAATCCAGGGTAATCTAAGGTAAACAGGGCATTTTTTGACCGTGTAGAGATCGGCACTTCTGAACTCTTCAACTTTACTCCGGATAACTGAATTAACAGTATCAACAGGATAACCCAAATTACATAGGGTATCCTTAATAAAGTTAATTTCATCGTTCAGGAAAGGCTCAGAGCAAATCTTTAATGCTCTGTGGAGGAGGGTTTTGATAATGTTGATCTTGCGCTTAGTGGGACAAAAAGAGTCCCAACGCGTGTATAACCTTGCAAAAGTAGGTTTTCTATAAACGGAAGTAAGAAAACCTGTTGACGTGCGATGTACTAATACATCCAAAAAAGCCAGTTGATGATTAGAGTCTTTTTCAATAGTGAACCTTAGTGCCGGATGGATGCCATTTAAAAACGAAAGAAACTGGTCAGCCTCAACTTCACCGTTAAATAAACAAAAGGTGTCGTCCACATACCGATAGTACAGTTGAGGACAAAGTGGATTCTTTCGTATCTTTTCTTCCTAGAAGCCAACAAACATGTTAGCAAGTGCCGGACCCAAAGGCGAGCCCATAGCGACCCCGTCGATATGTCGGTTCATAGTATTGTTGAAACTGAATTCAACGGAGGACGTTGCAAATCTCATCAATTCCCGAAAAATTGACTCAGGAAAACTAGGTGGAGTTAATGAACTGCGATAGAGATAGTCGCAACAAATATCGATGGTTTCCATCAAAGGGACACAAGTATACAAGGAAGAAACATCGAAAGAGCACATGAACTTACCGAAAGAAGACAATTTTCGCACGCGGTCAACAAAGGAAATGGAATCCTTGATACAAAAACCATCCAGGCACTGCAACACAGGATCCAAAAGTGTGGAGAGCCATTGGGCTATCTTGTGTTGGGCTGGCCCGATCATGGACAAAATCGGTCGCAACGGTACACCCGCCTTATGGATTTTCGGGAGACCGTATAATCGGGGACGAATCGAACCGGAAGGACGGATTTCGTTGGCAAACAGCATGGGATAACTGTTCATCCCACAAAATGTTTAATATCCAAAAAATAAAAATAAAAACACTACACAAATTAAGTTTTTTTTTCCGGGTTTTCAGATAATACATTTAGCTTTCTTAAAAGCATTTTTCGTAAGAATCACTGAAAAACGCTTTCATTTTTTCAGCTTAAAATGGAACAGATAAAAATTCGTTTTATGTCAGCTCCAGTCTCTTCCCAAATTAGAGTTGGTGAGAGGAAAAACGATCATTCTTGCTTTAGTAAGTGTACCAGCATTCAAGAGAATGGTGAATAATTTTAAAAAAGAGGGAATACAAGAGAGGGAAACTGGATCAGGTGGTCACAACTGGAAGAGAGACCATCATTTCAACTAGAAATTAGAAAAGATCCAACCCAAACCCTGATACGTTGGCGCGTGAAAGAGGAGTTTCAGCTACAACAGTCCAAAGAGCAGTGAAAAAAAAGACTTGTAAATGAAATCGTATGTAAAACCTCTGAGGTAACTTGTTGCGCCAGGGCAGAATGTTAGAACTATATTTCAATACTTCATGAGCTTCCGTTCTTTAGCTATGACTAATTAATGATGAAAATGTCATTTTTGTTTATGATCAATTTCATCACGAAGAAATCGATAATATTGTTAAACGTGGAGAGTAATTATTCATTCTTATTCCTCAAAGAAGAGTTCAGTAAGGTTATAAAAAAATCTCAGAGAATTCCAGTAAGATATCTTTAATCATTTCTAAGTTACGACGGTTGAAACCTTCATCTAACACATGGACAGATTTGCTTTTACACGATTTAGACAATTTTGCTGTTACACCCAGTATATTTCAGCCTAAACTTTTAACAGAACAAGGTTCTACGAGAGAAAGAAAGTTTAGACAATAAATATAGATAAGATCATTCCAGAAAGCAACCCTCTACGAAACTTACAGATTCCATTGTAGAGAAAAACATAAGAACAGGGTGTGAATAATCTCCAGCACTTGTTGAAAGGCAATAGCCCTTATTCCGTTATCAACGGGGTAATGTAACATACAAATCAAACACGAAAAGAAAATACAGTTTATCATCTTAATCCCTCATACAGAAATCGGATTCAAGAGATTATTTAACAATGTTATCCGGCTACCACTTCCACTCGCGTCGAAGAAAATAAACAACTATCAAATTCCCCTCACTTGATATAAAGGTGGAATGGTAAAGAGTACTTTATCAAGACATTAGCAAAAACGTTCGTTATCAAGATGTGAGACAGAAGTAATATTATATAGAAGAAATGTCAGTTAGGTTAGCATGAAGATATTTACTAAAGTCATGCGAGCAAAATAGCGTGAATTTCAGGAACATCATGTGCCCAACATTTTGTTGCGCAAGATGGCCAACATGAACAACTGCATTCTATTAATTATATATATATATATATATATATACTTGACATCATAGATATGCATATCTCAGTCATGTGTTAAATCAACTAGAGGCAGGTTGGCTATATTCGTTTGAATCAAAACTATTACTGTTGATTAATTATCATTACTCTAAATGAGATTGCATGCTCACTGTATATATTAATGAATCTTATATGTTATTATTACAGCATATATATATATATATATATATATATATATATATATATATACAAGACTCTTTCGCTTTATCACAGCTCATCAGTGTAGCTAGACACCCGATTACTTCAAGCCGGGATCAAAATTCAACGGATTTGCCATCAAATAGATATTCTACCCGCATGTTATCGGTGTACAGCGGAGAAGCTGAATCTTTTTGCGTATTATACACGTGATGGATACAAATACCAAATCAGTAGCCAAGAGCGCTCAATTCATAACAAAAGAGCGATGCGTTAATAGCAGGAGCCACCACTATTTTTACAATTTCTTTAATCTTTAGTGATCAATCGTCGAATGAGAGCGTAGTCATCCACATACAAGGCTGTTTCGCTGTATCACAGCTAATTATTGTGGCTAGATTTTCTCAATCCAGGATCATAACTTGATTTGGCATCAATCCTACACACATGCATATATATATATATATATATATATATATATATATATATATATATATATATATGAAAAATATAGTCTTAAGGTGTGCTATATTCATGAGATAAAATGTTCATTATCAGAAATAGAGCGTATGTAAATATAAATATAAAAGTGAACATTGAAGTCAACACTCAGAGGCTGTCTCATGCTGGACGCAATTAGCCTGACACCTCTGAGTGTTGACTTCAATGTTCACTTTCATATATATATATATATATATATATATATATAATATCTTATATTAAGTGCTGATGCTAATAAAACATACTCAATTTTAAATAACAAAGCTATAATATATATAAATCATGAATATATATTTATCCTTGAGGGTAGCACAACTCTATTTTCAATAAGCACGTTATTAATGCATTGTGAAGGAGACTCAGACTTCTGCTAGCGATGAGAAAAAAATGTATATTTATGATCAATATATGGACAATATATTTGGATGTACCATAAATATTCCTATTTTTTGATTGGTTTTCTACGACATATTAGCACTTTGCATATTATTTAAATGCATAAATTGTAAGATTTTTCCGATAGATCATAATTATGTTAATGATACAAGTCTTTCTATTTAACCCCTGCCTGTCGAGAGAAGTGATGATTATACATTTTACAAGGGAATTTGAGTGTCTATAAATATAAGGAACGCAACGGTTTTCCGATTAACAATTTTTAACCATTATCCATCACACCACCTGCACATCACAGCATACAGCATCTGGTATTCCCAAGTGGTCACCCACTGAGGTATGCCCAGGCTCAACGTTGCTTAACTTCTTTGATTTTACAGGAACCGTGTTTTCAACGTGATGTGGTCGTAAGCATTTGTTTTCATTTTTGTACACCGTCAAATACTGGATTTTATGGTTATAAGTGTAGCTACCCAGGCAACAGGTGTAAAATGTGCTTTCCAAGAGTGGGTGAACCTTCTTGACTGGTCAGCTGCTAGATAGCACAATTGGATGGACTATAGTCACATACGCTGTCAGTGAGGTGATGCGACTTGGCATTATTGGCAGGTGAGTTTCCTAGAGTAACGTCAGCCACTAAGGTGGTGGTTTGCTCTGATAGAAATGGCATGGAAATTTAGACGTCAAGTTGTATGACATTTTTCGTGATCTGATCGAAAGAGTGATGGGCTCCGGCAGACATATTTGCCGAAAACACGCTAGACCTTAATAAAAATCTCTCCGCGTTTTAACCAAGATAGCTCAACTGATCTGGTAAGTTACTTCATTTCTCAGCGACCATTCGACCAAACTGGTCAGAAGACTAAAGATGATGCAGAGGACATTAGGTCTCATCTTGGTATATACGTTGTTGACAAATCCATTTACTACTGATTCGATAAGGATAATTAGTTCGACTAATTCAAAATGGCAGCCAATGTCTATGTGAATTCTGTCGTTTACAGGGACAAATTTTGTCTTGTTAATTTTAACTCCTCCAAAACCGTACTTCTCTCCATTAATCATCTGAGAGACCCCTCTCTGAATTTCATCAGCATGGCTGAGGCTGAGGCCCTGGAAAATGACTCGTTGCACCTTATAGGGCTAACTTTCTCAGCTGACATGAAGTGAAAAAAAAAACTATATTGAATCGATTGCTCGGTCAGCTGTTAAGAAATTTGGTTCACTTCGTCCTGCTAGACAATTTTTCTCTCCAGAATCTACGTTACATAGCTATAAGTCTACCATTCGTCCATGCTTAGAATATTGCTGCCATATATGGTACGGTGCGCCCGCTATGTACACACCTTCGTGACTCGATTAAAGGATTATTTACACACACGCCTACACAGACACAGAGAAACACACACACATACATAGACACACACACATACACACACTGAGTCTACCATTCGTCCATACTTGGAATATTGCTGCCACATATAGTACGGTGCCCCTGCTATTTACCTTGAACTCGTTGACAAGATCCAATGAAGAATCAGCAATATTATCCGTCCTGATCTGGTGGCTCGGTTTCAGTTAATTTCCCACCACACTAAGGTTTGCTCTCTTTGACTTTTCCATAAATAATTTCATGGTAAATGTTCGAATGAATTAAATTTTAAATTTAAACCCAGTACTAGACAAATGTCTCTCATCAATGTACCGTTGAGCTGGCTAAATGTATCCGTAGGTTCTATGCTAACAGCTTCTTCTTTCATAATTCTCGCTTGTGTGACGCCCTTCTGGCTCCATACATTCTAGCCAATTTTAATCTACAAAAATAAAAATGCAATGTCAAATGCTCTCTACAGATGCCCTGACCGCGCTCTTCCCTTTTTGCACATTATCAATGTTTTTGTCTCTAAATCTTACACACACGTTAACCCTTTGTGTCTTAGTGGATTTAATAAATTGCACAGGGGGTATACCGATTAAAGACATTTGGTCAAAAGTAATTTTATTAAAGAAGTGAAAATAATAAGCCTTGGCAAAATCCAGTTTCGATGATAAATGGACCAGTCTCCTATCGCTTACGCTCGCGCAGTGATTAGTGTCACTTGGCATAAAGACAATGTTAAATTTAATATTAACAGTTGCCATGCAGTGATAATTTCTATGCCCACATGTTTAATCCAACTCTACTAAATGACCCCACCTCTCTCTATCTAGTAGTTTTTAAGAAATTAAACATTTAGTGGGATGGACAAACACGATTCGGACACACATTGCTGCTACACCTATATATATATATATATATATATATATATATATACATTGCCTCTACACCTATATATATATATATATATATATATATATATATATATATATATATATATATAGTAGCATTGGTAATCTGTATGAAATTTCTAAGAGGATATAGGTCCGTTGTGAGATCTATGTCAAAAAGACAAAGCAAAAATTATTATATAATAACAAAGAAACACTTAAAGACCATCGTGATATTTTATTTCATTGAAGCCGATAAAACATGGCTTCAAATCCTCGAACCTCTACACCAAATAAAGATGGAAAAATTCACTCTAGGTTTAAAAACTAAGAATAATGATTTCATATAGAGAGTGGGGAAAGAAAGATGTTATCTTCGTGAAGGAAGAAAGGAAAAAAGAAAACAGTGTGTCGTCTAAGTTGTATTACTACCTGTGGCATTGACAGTCGGATTGTAGACAAAAATCGTTACATGAATTTGGGAATTGGAAATACATTTGAAAAAAAAATAATTGTAAAATCGAAAATATGTCTTGATCGTTCCTTGGTTAAGATTTTGACACGTATGTAATCAACTTAAAAAAAACTGCTATAATTTATATTAAAAAGAGTGGTAGGCTAAGAACATTCAAAAAATATATTAAAAAATATTCAGAACAGAGCTAAAGATGTCAATTCATTATAAAACAATAAAATTCAATTAAAAAAGAATAAAACACACACAGACACGCGTGTAATTTCAATCATGAATATGCTTATAAAACGCGTAAATTTCAGGAATAAGTTATTCAAAAAAAAATTCGCTTGAAGATCGAACAGAGCTTAGTACTTTAATTCAATTTAATTCAAATAAGTTTTCGGCTCTTGTTTTGAAACATGAGAACTCTTATGTAGCTTTGGAATCATATTTTAAGTATATATATATATATATATATATATATATATATATATATATATATATATATATATATATAAAGAGAGGTATATCTGAGGTTATATAATCCAGGGGAAGTGGTTCTTCTACATTTTAAGGCGGTGTTTGTGCATATCTATCTCATATATGAGTTTGTGTAGATATATAGGTACACATCTATATTGCTTATATTTTGTATTTTGTGCATTATGCATTTATTATTTGTTTGCGCTTTTAGAAATCTGATGTTTCCCCTGTGACGGTCATTAATAGAATGTGTATATTAAGAAGCGAAAACGGTTGAATATATGTTTGGCCAATTTCGGTCTTACAATGTTAATTTACATGAAAAGTTTCTCATAATTATAGAGATACGGATACTTATAGAACTTAAATCTTTGAATTTTTCATCTTTGTAGAGATATACTACAGAAGTCTAATCCGATTAACTTTTTTTTAAATCTCTTTCGCTCACTGGGGTAGATGGTTCTAGTTCCACGTGCCAGTTCAATACCCGGTTAAGACAGTGGAGAACTTGGAGTGGGGAATTAGCAGGAGATAACTGACATTTGACATCCATTAGACATGACACATGGAACTAGAACGGTCTACCCCAGTGAGCGAAATAAAAGGTTCAGTTCGACATACCAACCAAACTGTGTAATAAATATGACGACAAAGGTCAGGACAATAATCAGAATAATGTAAATAGTGAACCTTTAACTTAAAAGTTAAAGGTTAACTGTTTACATTATTCTGATAAACTTCTTTTATATTTATTGTCCATTTAACAGGGAACAATCATGGATCTCCACAAATTCCAATCGTTTGTATTTTTAGCAATGTGTGTTTCTCTGTGTGTGTGTGTGTTTACCTATCTTTTTCACCCATTGTTCTGCTAATCGTTTGTACAAAAAATTATAGGAAAGTTAGTCACTAGTTCTCTTTATCTTCCTTTTCTTCAAGATTTCCTGAAAGTGTGAAATTTCCTTTACATTATTTCCTTAGTATCTGACCAGGTAATATTTACAAAATTCAGTGCTGCATAGATCTACTTCTGTATTGACTTATTGAAAAATCAAAATCATATTTTTTTTTCTATATCGGGGATCGAACATGAATGTCAATCTTTGCTGGGAAATACACACCTAGGCTGGCCCACACACGTCTTTTTAGATTTGCGCTGCAGGGAATCGTAAAGTAGGTTGTTAAGTGAAAAGTCAAGATTTGAGATAAGCTGGGTGGCTGTTTATGGGTGCACTGAAAGATTTACGGTAAATAGCCTAGCTTTGATGTACTTCAGCTTCTGCCGTTAAGGTTGTATTGATTGACGTTTATATCTCATTCCTTAATGTTAGTAATGGGCATTTGTCTTGGGGTGGAGGGGTGCATATCTATATCCACCCAGTACGGCACATGACACAGGGTTATCTTTTATGGTGGGTCATTCAAAAACTGCCCGTTTGATTCGACCATTAACACATTCAAAATAGCCTGAGTAATACATGTTTTTTTCTGATCTCAAATAAGTAGTGGCTTCCCAGGGTACGGTAACAGGTATCCAAGAACAATAATCTATTTTCAGGCTGCGAATGTCAGGGTAAAATTTATTTGAGGTAACGTGTTAGAAAATGAAATCGCATTAGAGTTACAATTGTTTGTTGAATGATTTTTCGCCATGACCAAGCAAAATTCCGACGTTTATCAGTTCAAGTTTGTTAGATAAGATATTTCACTTCATATATTATATGAGTATCTCTTATAATTCTGCTAACACCTCCTTTCGCTAGTTAGTTCCTTTGTTATAATCATTACGCCCTGCCAATAACTCATAAATAATGGACCATTCATTTATGAATACGTGAAAACGCGGAACGGACATATCAGCGACGCTACTTGGTTTCAGTAAGTAAAAGAAAGAAAGAAAGAAAAAAGAAAGAAGTATCTAACGTCTATTTTGGGGAAATGGTAATTAAGTTTTCAATATGAAATTTTTCATTTGTACACCCATAATTAGAAATAAATTTATTAATATATATGTTTGCAAGAAAGGATTTCGGCTAGTCTGTGTTAAATGGGTAAACACCTTACAACCACATTACGTTGTAACACCCTTTCCCGTACAATCACCGAAGTTAAGCAACATCGAGCAAATTCCTAGAAGTGTGAACAATTGAGAATGCCAGTTACAGTAATCTTGGATGTGCAGGTGGTGTAATAGATAATGGCT